GGTTCAGATTTCGCTGAGTTTTTAGAGACTGATTTTGGCCCCATGAAGCAGTAATGTATTCTGCATCGATAATTTCATAACTGTTGTCGGTATTTCACCCAACCAGAATTGCTGTGATTGGCCTGATAATAGACTATAAAGTCGTACAGATAAATATATACAAACAAATTTGGAATGTTTCGTTATCGGTCAGAACGATGATCGTCGTTTGGATATCTATGTTCGTTGTAAAAAACTCGATAAAATTGCTTCCTTTCGTTAAAATCGTAGAGAGTGTCGGTTATTGTTTTTTAGATTTGAGAAGATAATGTCATTTTTTTTGTTTGAATTTCCGTGTGACAAACAGATGTCAAGAATGCTTGTTTAGTATGGTAACTATACTTATGAAAAGCTGTAATCTTCATTTTACATAAACCGTTATGAATTGATGCCTTTCCCTGAATCGTGGGGTGACAACTAAATCGTAAGGCACACCAACGTATTTGTTTTCGATCAGTGAAAAACAAAACAGGAAAGAAAAAAAGAAAATTTGGAATATTGTTAAAACCTTATAAAAGCAATATCATTGTGCGATATCAAGACACAGCTGTACTTTCTTTTAGGAATCTTCATACAATTTCGACAGCAAGTTAAATGCAAGTTCTTTGCATTTTCTGTATCAAATTTGAACAGAATCATGATCATCATGATGATCTCACTGGTAAAGATTTTTTTCCTATGTGACATAAAGTTAGATTTGGTCGGTGGTGCTTGGTATTTTGCCAAGTTTTTCTTTTCTTTTTCATTACCCCGACTCTCATTTTGAGAATGTCACATTTCATAGATTGACAAAGATTTACATGACGAGTGATTTCCGTCAAGAATTCATTTATCATTCTGGAACACATGGTTTTCCCTTCTCGGATTTAAAAGAAGTAGCATTGCTTCTTTCTTCTTATTTTGCTTTTATTTTATTAATAAAAAAGCGATTTATTTGCTATGTCAATAATCTCTTTTTTCTATGTCCACATATCATTCCGGAATTATCTTTTACACTTATGACACAACTCTTCTGTAAACTGTAAAATTAGATCATGTGCATTTGTTATGAATGTATCACCATATCTAATCTTAGGTATCTTCAATCAAACATGTTTTTCTATTTGTTTATTGTTTATATATTCTGTTTTCTTTAAGATGTTTAAGTATAAAAACCACCATGGTAGTCCTGGTTTTCTAGCCGTGTCCTATACAGATGGTCAGTCCACGGCCCCAGGACACTAGCCAATGTCCAGATTTATTTCTGACCTGTCCATGGAAACAACCACCAATTAGATCACTTGAGAAGCCTAATTAGTCGGGTCCTTGCTGAGAAGAAAGTGTTCGGTCCGGTCTATCTTAATGACTGTTCGATATTAATTCAAACTTTTAATTTTTGGAGACATTTATTAAAGCTTAAAAACTACAAAGTCTAAATTTTGAATAAAGTATTACATACTTAAAATATGCAGCACTTTCTTATGTAAATTTACATAATTACACATAATTTGAAATCTAATTTAACGTAAATATGTTTTATTTTTTTGTTTGTTTGGGTGATTGTTGTCCACTAATTTAATGATAAAAGGTGTCTAACGTGTTACTTTTACTGTCGGAACCTTCAAAGCTGTGACGTCATCAGCCATGGCCTATCAAAACAATGCCGGCTCGTGTATAGCTCGTGTGTGTGTGTTTAATGCACGTGCCGTTTGTTTAGTTTTTAAAAACATCCTTTCAATAGCAGTTAAACCATTTGTGGACTTAACGAAAATTGTTTGTTTATACATGTCAATTTGGTGTACTTTCTACACAGTTAATTTAACAAACATCAACATATTCGGTCATCATTTGAATGTACTTTTCAATTTGTGTAATATATATTTATTATTACTGTAAAAAGGTGATAGAATCTACAAAATTAGAACGAGAAAATTAGAACCAACAAGCTGGAATATCACCTGATTTGGTATTTTACATTGTGTTGTAAAGTTGTAAAGAGACTTGCTCATGTCCCGACGATATTTTTTATTCTGTGGTGTTTGCAGTTGTCCTCACCCCCTCTCCCTCTAACAGAAAGAAAGAAAGTTAACTTTTAGAAGCATCTAGGATCAACATTGATAGTAAATTAGTTATGAAAAATTGTGGTAATTTTATAGCTCTTTGTATTACGGGGCTAAGTATATATACTTCTTATATGTAAGTAATCAAACTTACATCAGTACGGAACGGTTAACACTTACACATTATCGTTAGGGTATTTGACGGTACAACTTCGCACAGAAATTACAAAGGGAGACAATCGGGTAAGTTTAATTAAATTTCAACTTTTCTATCGATCAGTGAATATATGTATACTAAGTTTACATCTTGTTTAAAAAAATATTTCTTTTATAGATATAATAAGCATATTTATGTGAGTACGGATTCTGTATGTGTTGTTATAATTATGGATTTATCTCTTATTCAAGATATGTGTTGTTACAATCGCTCAGTAGACCAGACGTGTCTTTATCCCTCAACTAAGTATCTTCATCTGCTGTCATCTACACGTCTTACCCATCCATCTAAGTGTCTTCATCTGTTCACGGAGTGATGACCGAGCAAAGAACGAAAGAAAGAAAGAAAGAAAGAATTATTAATGAAATTTTAAATAAAATTTCAATCATCACGCGTCGTTCTCATCCTCAATTTCGTAGCTCTTACGTAATGTTTTCCCTGTCGGTTTCAACGTTAAAAATATTGATGTAAATATATATCATTCTTACTCCAAAATCTTATTCGATTGTTGTGTACAATTGTTTACAGAATATATTTACTTGCTGTGAATACAAGTGCCAACACTGGTAACACACTCGCTTCTCACCTATAGGCGTCCGGGGTTCGATTCCCCGGCAGGACATTACAAAATAGAAGTGACCTGCATAACCACGTGGGTTTCCCCGGTTTCTTCACGCAGTAAAACCTCTCTCGTGATTCAATCCTGGCCAACACGAGTATTTAGTAAAAGATTATATCTTATTTCTCAATAATTGTGAAATACATACAGTTTCTGGTTTAAAATGCAATTATTCATGAAAATAATTATCCCAATTATTTTACTTTTTTATCTTTATTTCTTGCTGTTCTTTTCTGAATGTATTTCGTTTGTGTTTATATTAACATTATTAAACAATGTCGTTATTTTCTTGATTCTAACAGATGGGTAGGTTGTTTGTGTAAAATAAGCATACCTACAAGTGTGAATTTGTTTATACTATGCACACAGCCACCACGCGCGCTTTATCCATGTCGGAACACAACCGTAACACCTGACTGCCTGCCCCACCCTAAACCTGACCACCTGTCTATCCCACATCCCACAGTCCCACAGTCCCATCTACACTATGATCACCTGGCCCCACCCCACGGTCCGACACGACCGATCGTCCTCCACCTCACAGTCAACTCGACGGAGTCCACCTCCGCCTGTCATTCCCGCCTCTCCACTACATAGAAACAAATACTATATCTTCGACGGTCCCTTTTCATTTTTCAGACACAAATCTTTTATCAATTTTCATTTTTCTGAAATGTTCGATTCGTCATAAAAGAGAATTACATTTTAGTAACTACATAGCTACTTATATGAGGAAGAATTCTCGTGTTATCAATTATCAATAAGTATACATACGAATTCATTTACCGGAAGAAAATATCAATAACAGATGTTTAATTCTTCCGAGAATCTTGAATATTTTCAAAGTCATCGTCTTTAGTTTTCACTCAAACGTGTTTTCTGTGTCCTACTGAATGAAAGGGAATGTGATACACTTAAAATCATCATATATAATATACTTGGCAAAATGATCATAATTAGGTGAGAGAAGGAAAGTTATGAAGTCGATTCACAACTTATATTAAAATCTATTCATTTTTTCTATTTTATGGAGCAAAAAAATCACCGACTTGTTGTATACAACGTCCTTAAGACCCATTCTATCATCCGTGCCGTTTTTTTTTTCAAGTTTAAAATTAATTCCACGTCTGATTAGATTTTATTTCTAAACAATGATTATCTAACATGTATATATAAAACCATATCAACCAACAACCAATCAATCAACTTCTTTCCTTCTCTAAGACACGTTACGTAGAATATCAATACTTGAAATTGAGTGCTAGTATATGTTTGTAAATATGTCATCATGATTTATCTGTAATTATTACACATTGTAATGACTGAAGAGAGCCCAGCAAGTTACAAGAACTTGTGACAACTCCCTTTGATACATTGTCAATAAAATATGTTTGAATGAACCAATAAAATAAATTTGAAAATTATGAATGACAGATTAAATTTGAAAAATATTTCATATAACGTATCTTTTATATCCGTGCGTACATTACACTGAGAGAAAAACAGAAACTGTAGACTTTGGTAAGCAAATAGACTAGGTTATATATGTACTATGTACGTACAGTCTACATGCGTATAATGCTTAGTTGAAAATCTACCAACACGATCAGTACCATTATCAAGTTTTCATTCTATATTCAGATAACCATCAGCGACATCTATCTGTGTAATTTGTTCCTTTAATTATCTTACATTCAGAGACGAGTTCGTCACCACCCCAATCGATCACACTCATCGACCGAAAATAGTTACAAAGCATCAGTAAGGATCGAATGAAAGCCAAAACTAGCGAAAGGACGAACATGGTGGAAAGCTAGTGAATCGTCACGCCTTCATGCATACGGCGGTCGCTTCTGATCATCGGTAGCCAATCAGAACGCAACGTGGCACGCGACCCGATAATATGATACCGATGCATAATATTTTCAATAAAAACAAATCTGATTGGTTAAGAAAACCGAGGAACCAACTTGTCCTCGGAATCGGTATAAATATAGAGAAAGGAAAATCATATTAGTCACTTAATTTTCCAACATCACCTCTCAGAATCGACACTATTTTTTACACAAATTTTCAACCCATCAAAATGACAGATGAAAGCCGAGTTTCCCTGGGAGACGAGCGAAACGACAAGAGAAAAGTGGACGATTTCACAGCGTTGTACAATTTGGACGCTGCCTCTTCTACTCGTGGTTTAGTCGACAACGGTACGTATATATACAGACTGTTAGACTCTCTCATTAGACAAAACCCCAAGGCAAATTAAATTTATTCGCACAATAATTCATTTTAGTAATTAACCCAATTTTCTACCATGGCAGTTAATAGAGGAAAGCATTCAAATCAAAATTATGGAATAATGATCGAATCACCAGGTAAAAGCACCAGTCGAACAGGCTACAAATTTTATTACTTATTGGCAGAGTAATGTAATTTTATTTACAATAGCACTAGGTAAATGAATACAACAAGACTTCGTTACCGCGGACACCGGCGGAATATGAAATAATGTTAAGAAGTGGGTGATACAATTGTCAGCAATTTGCTTGCGCTAACCACCTTCGACCAGGACAGGTAATTTGTACTAAAGCCATAATTTTGTTTTCTCCTAACGAAATTTACTTCTCCTGAATGCTTTCACTAGTTTCGGTTTTCACAATAAAACTAACAAACAAGATTAAGACAGCGTTCTAGGAAACGTCTCCATGTTTTAACATCGTCAAGTAAAGGAGATTTTCGCTTTAGGAATCTGACTTGAGTTTATAACGTTCCGAAGGGTTATGTTTTATCGGTCAGTTGGATTTATAGGAACGGAATATAAATTCGGAACGTCATTCCGAGGTTTTGAAATTGCGTGTTCTCTCTGGAAATCTACACCGGGATTATTTGGAATTATCATTTAGTAGTGACATTTTGTCCTATCGCGCGTCTTTTTCACCGTTTCGGTAAGTTGGAATTTTCGTTATGTTTTTATCTTCATGATATATCATCAGTTTCCAGTAGAAACTGAATATATCTTTTTTGTATTTTCCGTAAGATATGTAGGCAAACCAAAGAATGAACGATTCACATACATAATATATATATATATATATATAATATTTCACATAAAATGCATTAAAATAGTTTGATTATATTAGCCGTTAAGAAGTGTGGCGCAAACGTTGTGTTTTTACATAGTTCATCTGTAAAATCTCGTGCAATGATAGAATATGCCATTTTAAACTCTTTAAGAGAAAAATATTTTCACTGGATCTGCGGCCGTGTTAGATTTAGCGTCCAGTTGTTACAGTCATTAACGAAGATGTTGTTTTTTCATTAGAAAATATATCCAAATTGTAACTCTTGTAATTTCACAACTTGTATAGTGACATGGACACAGAAAAGATATTTGTTTTCACAATTTCTTCTTTTGGTTTCCATTTGAGCTCCTATAGTGACATGGACACAGAATAGATATTTGTTTTCACAATTTCTTCTTTTGGTTTCCATTTGAGCTCCTATAGTGACATTGACACAGAAAAGATATTTGTTTTCATACTTTCATTTTTGATATCGTTGATTTTGGTTAAATTGTGCTATTAAGATTACAGATCGTACACAAAAAGCAATATATTTCACAAATCTAATTTCGTACTACCATACCAACCAGTTATGCGTTCCTAATTACCTTCGTTTAAATCTCCAACTTAACAAATGAGGTGATGTGGTGTCGTAATCTATCTTGTATTGAAATTACAACTTAATTTCCACGGTGTCAACGCACAAGAATAGAATATTATATCGCACCTGGCTGAGGCAAAAAACAGGATGAGCTTTCATCGAAATATGAACAACCGTCGTAGCGATTTCCAACAATTTTAATTAATTTTCACAGAGTATTTATAAATTGCATAAAAATGACACGTATGTCTGTTTTACTATCAGTTGATATTGCGCTTATTTATCGTCTTATTATCTTTTACATACATTATTTATAGAATAAATTATTTATAGGAAATAATATACACGACCGCACGAAAAAGTAAATTATATGATTTGAAATTCCGGTTTTTGTTTAATACTGGAAGCGATAAAATATACGCATAGATTTATTTTCGCAAAAATACATTTGTCCATTTTTGTTTGAAAATTCCAACGATTAGTGTATAACATGCACTTTCGTTGTTTTTTGATAGCTGTATATCGGGATTTAGATAAAGGTATTTAGTAAAGATAAACAATATCATACATTCCACATATATATCCGGTCGTTTTCTGGTGTTGTCTACCTACATCTATTCAGGTATAATTCCAAAAACCTAACTTTGTAATTTCACACAAAAATAAATAAATAAATAAATAAATAGTTAATAAATTAATAAAAAAAAAACAATAGATAAAAAAATATAGGTTTTACTTTTGTATATTATATTAATCCATATTTGTCTGAAACAATACAGAATTTAAACAAATCATACATATTTTTATAAAAATGTACATGAATTCTCAAAAATAATAAGATCTCACCTTTCGGAAAACCATAAGAATTTACTGAACCGTGGCCATCTATTACGGATATTGTTAGTTTTTGTTTTAGGATGAAAGAAAAAACCTGACAAGTTGAGAAGCTCAAATAGCACTGCCAATCTAAGTCACTATAATGTTTTGCTGTTACATGAAAAGAAGAATGTATATAGATAAATTGATATAGTTTGATATTGAGAAAAATGTTTAGTTAGAGGCATTTTAATTTCTTACGGAATTATGATATCATTACCGGACATACGATTCGTTTCAGCGTTAAAAAACTTACAGGAAAAATATCGATCTATTTAATGATTGATTGAAAGTAATTATTTTAAATGTATCTCTCAAACATTCAATTTCATCTTAAATTTTTATCATGACATTATAATAGTATTCTTCCGCTAATCAGGAAGTTAAAAAAGCTGATTTAAACTATATTTAGATTACTGAAAAATATTCACGTGTTCATTTCGAATAGATAAAAGAAATATCCATACGAAAACAGGACTATAGGAAAGAGGTACTAAGGTTGATTTTCAACTATTCTACTGTGTTTTTGCAATAGAACTGATATGAACTGAAATAGTTTGCCATTCCGGTGAAGATTTCAAACAAACTTTCGATTTAAAACATATGGTCAATGGTGTGTCGATTGTTACACCAGTATATCTGTCGGTTATTTCACAAGTTTGGTCACTCCAGGGTCGGGATCCGTGTCATGTTAGGACAAAGTGTACACCGACTTTTTTGTGATTAATTAAATTACTGCATCACTGTTACAACACGGCCACACGAGGCCAAAGGTCTTACAGGTTGCCATCTGACAATAGATAAATACTGGACACGGAACGGAATCTCAGGTGACAAAACAGCAGTTTCGTTTGACCAGTGGCCGAAGGTGTGCTGGACACAATCTTTCTCGCCATCTGTTATCACCTTCACACCTCGGCCAGAATGACCACTGGTCAACGTAAATAATTTAGGAATCGTCCGCCGAAAACCCCGGCAATCTGTTAGTTTATGTAACACAGTAACGTTCTATTTTCATACTCTGTACTTTAACCCGTACGGGTCGCGGGGACTGAGATATCTGTAGCTCTCCAGTATGATATATTCGTTTTACCCGTATAAATAATGATATCTTGAAACCTAGGATAACCAAACCTGTGGGCTAGATTTCGAAATGAATTCGTTAAGAGGAAATTAACAAGTGATTGATAAACATGGATTGTAATGTAAATCAGGGTGACGAGGCGATATTTATAGACTTCGAAATAGATCATTTCGGTGAGTTAGCTGTGTTTTTATTCCACCGTGTTTATTTTTGTGTACTTATAACACACATTTTAAGAAAGGACACGTTTTTTTTCTTTTTCGTTTTTCTTTTCTGCTTTATTTTAATGACTACATTTCACGGAAAGCAAAAAAATGTTTTTAGATATCGCATCAATTCTATGGTGCATGAAAATAATTAAATTTTATCATTTGTTTTATTACAGGTCAAGAGGGTGCATTTAAAAAGATAAAACATGAGCCCGGATCAGGATCTGGTTCGTCGATTGGAGGGGTAGGAACTGGAGGGTCGGGTACAGGACACAACCCATCATCTTGTCCTACTCCCGCGCGACGAAGACATCGGACAACTTTCACACAGGAACAACTACAAGAATTAGAGGCCGCTTTCTCAAAATCTCACTACCCGGATATTTACTGTAGAGAAGAACTGGCGCGAATTACCAAGTTAAATGAAGCTCGAATACAGGTACGATATGTATAAAAATTACCTTTTTTTTCCCGACCAAAGTTTTATTCGGTTTTATTAATGTAATGAATTAGTGATGAATACTTGCAAAAAACACAGTCAATGTCCTTCCAAATAGCCTCCTGCCCATTCCAAGATTCTCCCCCACCGTCAAAGTCTTATCTCTCCTCCCCAACCACAGCACCGTCCGTCCTTTACTGTCAAAGTGTCGTTCCTCCTCCCCAATAAAAAGGCGTCCATCCGCCCCACTCACAGTGTCTCCCTTTCTCCCCACTAACAGTGTCGTCCCACCTCTCAACTAACAGTGTCGTCAGACCTTCCCACTAACAGTGTCCACCCACCTCCCCACTAACAGTGTCGTCCCTCCTCCCCGCTATCAGTGTCGTCAGTCCTCCTCACTAACGGTGTCCATCCACCTCCCCATAACAGTGTCGTCCCTCCTCCTCCCTAACAGTGTCGTCTCACCTCCTCACTAACAGTGTCGTCCCTCCTCCTCCTTAACAGTGTCGTCCCTCCTCCTCACTAACAGTGTCCATCCACCTCCCCATAACAGTGTCGTCCCTCCTCCTCCTCCCTAACAGTGTCGTCCCTCCTCCTCCCTAACAGTGTCCACCAACCTCCCCATAACAGTGTCGTCCTTCCTCCTCCCTAACAGTGTCGTCCCACCTCCTCACTAACAGTGTTGTCCCTCCTCCTCCCTAACAGTGTCGTCCCTCCTCCTCCTCTTTAACAGTGTCGTCCCTCCACCTCCTCACTAACAGTATCGTCCCACCTCCTCACTAACAGTGTCGTCCATCCTCCCCACTAACAGTGTCGTCCCTCCACCTCCTCACTAACAATATCGTCCCACTTCCTCACTAACAATGTCGTCCCTCCTCCCCACAAACAGTGTCGTCCCACCTTCCCACTGACAATGTCGTCACTCCTCCCCACAAACAGTGTCGTCCATCCTCCCCACTAACAGTGTCGTCCCACCTCCTCACTTACAGTGTCGCCCCTCCTCCCCACAAACAGTGTCGTCCCACCTCCTCACTAACAGTGTCGTCCCTCCTCCCCGCTAACAGTGTCGCCCCTCCTCCCCGCTAACAGTGTCGTCCCACCTCCCCACTAACAGTGTCGTCCCACCTCCCCATTGACAGTGTCATCCCTCCTTCCCACTGACAGTGTCGTCTCTTCCCCACTAACAGTATCGTCCCACCTCCCCATTGACAGTTTCGTCCCCCCCCCCACTAACAATGTCGTCCCTCCTCCCCACTAACAGTGTCGTCCCACCTCTTCACTAACCACTAACAGTATCATCCTACCTCCCCTAACAGTTGAATAACAGTGTCGTCCCCCTTCCCACTAACAGTGTCGTCCAATGACAGTGTCGTCGTTCCCTCAGCGTTGTCTCTCCTCCTCACTAACAGTATCGTCCCACCTCCCCACTAACAGTGTCGTCCCTCCTCCTCACTAACAGTGTCGTCCCTCCTCCCCACTAACAGTGTCGTCCCACCTTCCCACTGACAGTGTCGTCCCTCCTCCCCACTAACAGCGTTGTCTCTCCTCCTCACTAACAGTATCGTCCCACCTTCTCACTGACAGTGTCGTCCCTTCTCCCCACTAACAGTGTCGTCCCTCCTCCCCACTAACAGTATCGTCCCACCTTCCCACTAACAGTGTCGTCCCTCCTCCCCACTAACAGTGTCGTCCCTCCTCCCCACTAACAGCGTTGTCTCTCCTCCTCACTAACAGTATCGTCCCACCTCCCCACTAACAGTGTCGTCCCCCCCCCCCACTAAAAGTGTCGTCACTCCTCCCCACTAACAGTGTCCTCCCACCTCCCCACTAACAGCGTCGTCCCTCCTCCCTACTAACAGTGTCGTCCCTCCCCACTAAAAGTGTCGTCCCTCCTCGCCACTTACAGTGTCGTCCCACCTCCCCTCTAACAGTGTCGTCCCTCCTTCCCACTGACAGTGTCTCGTCCCCCCTCCCCACTTACTGTGTCGTCCCTCCCCACTAAAAGTGTCGTCACTCCTCCCCACTAACAGTGTCTTCCCACCTCCCCACTAACAGTGTTGTCTCTCCTCCCCACTAACAGTGTCGTCCCTCCCCACTAAAAGTGTCGTCCCTCCTCCCCACTTACATTGTCGTCCCACCTCCCCTCTAACAGTGTCGTCCCTCCTCCCTATTGACAGTGTCTCCTCCCTCCTCCCCACTAACAGTGTCGTCCTTCCTCCCCACTAACAGTGTCTTGTCCCTCCTCCTCCCTCCATCCCCCTCACAGTGTGGTCCCGCCCTCTCTCTCACAATGTGATCCCTCCCTCCCCCTCACAATTTGGTCCCTCCCTCGCCCTCACAGTGTGGTTCCTCCCTCCCCCTCACAGTATTTGTCCCTCCTTCCCACTAACAGTGTGGTCCCTCCTCGCCCGTCAATGTGTTCCCTTTTCCCTCATTAAAGTGTGGTTCCTCATTCTCCTCTCAGTGTGGTACTACCCTCCTCCTTACAGTGTGACCCCTATTCCCTATCACAGCGTAGCCCTCCTCATCCTCTACCCCAACCCCAGTATTGTTTCTCCTTTCATCATCAAAACTGTTTAAAACTAAAATACTTGTTAAATTTAGTATTACTAAATTGTGATACATGTATATTATATCTAAGATAAGATGTGTGAGTTCTAAAATTCGCCGGCGTAGCACCAACTTAAAATCAAATCAGTGATTATTTTTACGTTCAGTTTCTGACAATGACATTAACGAAATGTGATGTGTATACGTAGAATCAATTACGCGTGTTCATCGCGCTGGACAAGATTTATTTACTTCTACCACCATGTTGATGAAATTTTTATTTTAAAATATAACCCATTAAAGCAATGTTCGATGAATCTGAAATCTATAACTAATTTGATGAATTTGGACAAGGGGTTTGTACTGTTATAAATTAGATATTTTGATTTCAAAACAATGTTGAGTCATACTAGGTTAGTGTCGCATTAAGCTACTGATGCTTTCCGTCAACCTCCAGACTTAGTAATTAATTCGTTACTCACCCGTTATACGATCCCAGCATTGTCAGCTTAATGGAATTGTCAGTGAAATAAACTTTTTTTTAAATGACGAAAAAAAATGAATAATTAGAATTGTTGGAGATAAAGCAATGACCAGTAAAATGAAATTTCGAATTTATTCATCTATTTCTTTCTTATCGATATGAATGAAATGTGATTCGAAAAAATCGGTCATGAGCTACTACTATGATCACCTGTGTGCTACAGTTTAGAGAGTTGCATGCGAACTCAGTAGTCCACCAGCAGCAATTAAAGGCCTTGTTAATTTAACAATGGCTCAATTAACGTATGTCTTCAGTAGAACATTGTCCCGACCTCCCACGAACTCGGTCTGTCAACACGGAATCGGAAAATGTCTGTGACCATCATCAGACAGATTCTGGGAGACAGATGGAATTTTCCGGCGTGAAATCGTCACCACAGGGTTTCTATAGGCTGTCCCTTTAACAGGACCTAGACAACGGTACCGTTAGATTTCGTGGTCGATTGAACTCAGAACTTCTCTGTTTTGTCAAAGACCCGATTTGTAGCAGTTAATGACCTCCCGCTAGTTCTTTGGGTACTCAAACATGTCTTGGGGTTGTTTGTTTTATTCTCAGCAACCTTCGCAGGAATACCACGCGGATTTTTTTTTACTAAGGGCGAATAACTTTCATCTGACTTCTCAATAGGCAGTGTCCTCATTTGACTCAATAACAATATCATGGGACCTTTTCTGGGTCAATAATTTCTCTACTAAAATTCTATACATGAAATAAAATCAGAGATTTTTTATCAACACAATCGTAACCGTGCTTCGTAATATGTAATATGTGCGGGAAAAGTTTGACTCTCGCAGTGTTTTAGAATTCTGTAATACTGTTTGGGAAATGCTTATGGGCTGCATTCTCATAAAATAGACAATTATCTCTATACCCACATTTGATCGACCACTGTGTTTACCGTTTGGTAGCTAGGCAACACTTGTCAGTGTAAACGTTTTGGATGACGAGTAAATCATGTTGTTTTAAATGTGTTTTTCCTGTATTTATCCATCATTAGGAATATTTATCAAGGTTGGAAATGTGACGAAATTAAATACATCCTTTCTACGATCAGTTTTAACTGCGAATTGATATCAAATCTATATATTTTTCTTCTCTTCTGTTCTTTCTATCTTCTCATATTTTCTTCCTTTTGATAAAATGATTTAAACTTATAATTGTAAGAATTACATATTTTCATTTTTATAGTTATAAATATGTGTCACGTGCAGTATGTAAATTATGTGTAATTTTAATTATGGAGAAGATTTAATAAGTAGTTAGATCTTGGTCTGATCCATTTATCTGTTCCTGATAATAAAATATGTTTAAATCAAATCACTGCAACAATTTGAACCTGGACGCTGCCATCTTGTGACGATGCAAACAAAAGGTGCCCCTCCTCTCTTAGATATGGTTGTGTAAAGACCTTTATTGTCCAAATAGGACTCGTTGGAGGCCTTTCCGCACCCACGACGCAGTTTCATTACAAAGGGTCTTGTACATATATCTATTATATACTGCTGCACGAGCTAATTTGACATTTCTGTTTTGCAGTTAACAAATGTACCCACGAAAAAAAACCAAAAAAAAAACTTTTATGTTTAAAAAAATCTATAATAAAACTTCAATGTAAGATGTCAATGCTTGATATTTCATTTTCTAGGTAAAATTTATGAAATAAAATACAGATGTATGTTGACACGAATTCCATGAAGAAAATAAATAGCTAATTTCCCTTATATTCGATTTATAGCAACGATTCGCATCGCTTTCATATACTAAGTATTTTGTACATTTAACTTTCATCTTGCTCCAACACTACAGTTATGGGTATTTTAATGCCGTGATAAAGATTAGAAACTGGACAACGTTGTCGACAATTCTATTAAGCCTGAATTAAAATAGATTAACTTTGTAGAAGTTA